GCCTCTGGAATCATGTATAGTTCCGGTTTGAGGTTTGAACAACGGAGCAACGTCATGGCACACGGGTAGCAATCCATAAGTGCTCCGTTCTTCTTTAAACTCAAGTCTGAGTCCGAAGAATCTCAGTACAGTGCAGAGGCTCTGTAGCACAGGCGAGGATCCGGAAATGCGTAGGTTGGGATTTCAACTCTAAATTTTGCCCGGGCAGCGCTGTTAGGTTCCGGTATAATATCCGAACAAGAATCCGTTCACTCCAAGGAACGATAGCAATTCTCGAACATGTTTGACAACGGCTGCCCGGCTGAAACGTTATTTGTGTTGTTTTGTGCACGTTTTTCTGCTTCCCCATTTAGTTAAGCTTTTTAGTCAAATTTTCCTGGACTTCATTGTATTAGCTTGACTACAATCACCCCATATTTTCACCAATATCCGAACAAGCCACGCCGCATTCAGATGCTGCCACCAGCATCTTTGCGCAACGTCGGCAAGTGGCTACCAAAGTTCATGGATTTGTCATTACTTCTACCGTGTCTACCTCACTGTCAGCATTGGAATTCTAATGCACAATTCAACTGAACAGCATATGTGCTCTAACTGAATAAAGTAACACATATTCGTTCACTCTAAGGGACGAGAGCGATTCTTATTTTGCTAACTGTGAGTAACCGAACAAACTCTAACGGGGTTTTCCAACAGCATCCAGCTTCACCAGATCTCACTTTCCACACAACAGTTGTGTCCCCGCGTCTTGTCCCCTTTCTCTCCCCCATTCACCCAGCAGAAGTGATCCTACAAAGGTCATGAGACCCAAGTATTCACACTCACCTCGGTCAACCATATCATAAATATTAATGTGCACTCGCGCACAAAGTGAACTCTGGTATCATTGTTGCTATTGTGAGTTCACACAGACTCACCATGTGGGTTATGGGGCCCACTTGTAAGTTCACACACAACAGACTCATCATATCTGTTTAGGGCCCAATTATGAGTTCACACACAACAGACTCATCATGTGGGTTTGGGGTCCAATTGTGAGTTCACACACAACAAACTCACCATGTGGGTTTGGGGCCCACTTGTGAGTTCACACAGGCTCACCATGTGGGTTTGGGGTCCAATTGTGAGTTTACACACAACAGACTCACCATGTGGGTTTGGGTTCCAATTGTGAGTTTACACACAACAGACTCACCATGTGGGTTTGGGTTCCAGTTGTGAGTTTACACACAACAGACTCACCATGTGGGTTTGGGTTCCAGTTGTGAGTTTACACACAACAGACTCACCATGTGGGTTTGGGTTCCAGTTGTGAGTTTACACACAACAGACTCACCATGTGGGTTTGGGTTACAGTTGTGAGTTTACACACAACAGACTCACCAAGTGGGTTTGGGGTCCAATTGTGAGTTCACAAAGACTCACAATGTGGGTTTGGGGTCCAATTTTGAGTTTACACTGACCCACCATGTGGGTTTGGGGTCCAGTTGTGAGTTCACACAGACTCACCATGTGGGTTTGTGGTCCAATTGTGAGTTCACACACAACAGACTCACCATGTGAGTTTGGAGCCCGTCTGTGAGTTCACACACAACAGACTCAGTATGTGGGTTTGAGGTCCACATGTCAGTTCACACACAACAGACTCACCATGTGGGTTTGGGGTCCAATAGTGAGTTCACACACAACAGACTCACCCTGTGAGTGTGGAGCCCGTCTGTGTGTTCACACACAACAGACTCCCTATGTGGGTTTGGAGCCCAATTGTGTGTTCACACACAACAGACTCAACATGTGGGTTTGAAGCCTAGTTGTGTGTTCACACACAAGAGACTCAACATGTGAGTTTGGGGTCCAATTGCGAGTTCACACACAACAGACTCACCATGCGGGTTTGAAGCCTAGTTGTGTGTTCACACACAAGAGACTCAACATGTGAGTTTGGGGTCTAATTGTGAGTTCACACATAACAGACTCACCATGTGGGTGTGGGGCCCAATTGGGTGTTCACACACAACAGACTCCCCAAATGGGTTTGAGGCCCAGTTGTGAGAAATAAAAGAATAGACCCATAGCCCTTTCAAGTATGTAGTAAAATGTGACTAATTAGGGGTGTTTCCTTTGGTCCGAGTGCATCTACCTAATAGACGAGCATCCAGCAGTTTGCATACAAATAAGCCAAATATGTAAAATGGAAAGTGCTCACTAAACACACGTCCTGATACAATATCAAAGTCTAGAAGTGGACGTACAACCAAAACTTATCACACGAATTTACAGCATGTGAACGCAAAGAAGAAGTATCAAAAGATGAGTCGAGGGCGCCCATAAGGAAGCCCAGCTCCTTGACCACTGGCTCCAATATCCACCCAAAATGCTGACAACTGACCTAGACTAATGGGTAACCCAGTTCTAAAATTGGTACCAGGAAACTTCGAGGAACACACCGCCCCTCAAGTGTCGAGCAGTTTGTTAAAATACGGGGCTTCCTTCGTAGGCGATATGCACAACACGGCAGGGGAAAAGGGATCTTGACATCTAAACCTTGGAGCTAAGACCGGCAGTCTAAGCTTGTCACCAAACACAGCAATGGAAACAAGGTTCAGGCTAACAGGTCATGGAGGGTAGGAAGAGTTCAAAGATGCTTACACGGCACTCCAAATCTGAAGCTCTAGAAAAAACACTCCATGCAATGGAGGCCATCAAAATAGCATACCTTTCGTAGAAGAAGGACATCATTTAGAAGCCAAAGAATTACACATAAAATTAAAACTTTCATTTCCTGATCCAAAAATAAAGTTGCCCACTTATTCCGAAAGCCCATCTGGGAACTCCAAGTACTTCCAATAGAAACCGAGCTGCATGGATCAGTGGAAGTCGTGCGTCACACGACTTCTTAAAGGGCTGCGATCATATGTCATTTAGTCATTACCCAGTTTGCTAAGTTGAGGAATTGTATGTATTCGGTACTACGCGATGTATTTTCAAATTGTCTATCGATTTGTAAAGCTGTCAATATTTCCAGAACATTTCATGGAAACTATTTTAATCTGGGCCGTCGTGAGATCTTAAATCAGTTTTGAGAACCCACATGCACGTGAGTCTTCTACTTTGCCCTTCTGTTCTCTCCGCTAGTGGTTGTCACATAAGAAGAACGCAGCCCGGCTATCTTCCGAATAACGGTCCCAGATTATCGAGGCAGACAATATACTCTAACAGGGCCTGAGTCACGTGTCAATGAAGAAGAAAGCGACCAAGAAGCAACAAAATACAAAGATGACGAAAAAGACAGAGAAGATACGGAAACGAGAAGAAGAAGAAGAAGAAGAAGAAGAAGAAGAAGAAGAAGAAGAAGAAGAAGAAGAAGAAGAAGAAGAAGAAGAAGAAGAAGAAGAAGAAGAAGAAGAAGAAGAAGAAGAAGAAGAAGAAGAAGAATAAGAAGCAGTTATCATCATTAACGTCAATAGATCATTTAGCATAAATAATAGACCATTACGGTCTTATCCTGCACCTTGGTAACTGGGCTATGAGAGGCAATGAGAGCACTATGATAGGTCCACGCTCTTTCTGAGTACCAAATGAACAAAACAGAACTGTCCTGGAATATAACACATAATCTATTATAGGAATAGTATCCAACCGAAGAACCAGGTGAGCAATCAAGCCACACACCAGCCAGTCAACCAACCAATCAACATACACACTAGCCAGGCAGCCAGACAATCAACGAACACACACACCAGCCAGTCAACCAACCAATCAACATACATACCAGCCAGTCAGCCAGCCTACCGGTCAGCCAACCAATCAACCCACACACCAGTCAGTCGGACAAGCAATCAACCCACACACCAGCCAGCCTACTAGCAATCCAGGCAATCAACCCACACACCAGCCAGTCGGACAAGCAATCAACCTACACACCAGCCAGCCTACTAGCAATCCAGGCAATCAACCCACACACCAGCCAGTCGGACAGGCAATTAACCCACACACCAGCCAGTCGGACAGGCAATCAACCCACACACCAGCCAGCCTACTAGCAATCCAGGCAATCAACCCACACACCAGCCAGTCGAACAGGCAATCAACCTACACACCAGCCAGCCTACTAGCAATCCAGGCAATCAACCCACACACCAGCCAGTCGGACAGGCAATCAACCCACACACCAGCCAGTCAGCCAGCCTACTAGCAATCCAGGCAATCAACCCACACACCAGCCAGTCGGACAAGCAATCAACCTACACACCAGCCAGCCTACTAGCAATCCAGGCAATCAACCCACACACCAGCCAGTCAACGAGTATTCCAGGCAATCATCCAACACACCAGCCAGTCAGCCAGCCTACCACCCATAAACACTACACTTACAAATACTGGCAGATTTACGCCATGTGCGTTAATCGGCGTGCTGAGCCCAATGTTTCTAGCAGCCATCGCATATCTTGCGCAGATTCCACCGCCCCAATTATGGGTGCTTCTGGCAGCAGTGGTAGCAATCCCCACAGTGGCCCCAAAGCTTCTTTGGGTGCTCAGATGCACAAGGCAATAGTTGCTGAAGTTTGTCACTTGACTCATGGAATACAGCGTTCTCAGTGCCGTCATCAGGTTGTTGGGCATGTTATAGTGCTCACTGAGACGGGTGTACTCGGTGTGCACAAAGAGATTGGTAATGGCGATTCCCAGGTTTGTGAGACTATCAAATTTCGTTTCTCTGTATATTCTATCTACCGACTGGTAGAGATAGACGAGGATCGATATCATCCGGAAAATATTGGCGCGCCCTATACCTCTGTAGGTTTCAAAATCTGCAATGACAAGCATCTCACACGTATCGTACACGGAGAGAATTAAATTGAGTCTTTGATCTCCTCCAACGATCTTGCTGTTTGGTCAAATCTTTATCTTTGGACGAATGTGTTTCTGAATTTAAATGTTTCTTAAATATATTGTTTGCAACACGCCGATGATCGGTCTTCTCATTATAAATATTTTCCTGTTTAAATTTGTTGATGGTTGCAGAAGTATTCTTCTTGGTGTGTCTTCTTTGCTCGACTGCAAGCGAATCTGACAACGGATATTCCACTTCCTCACAGAAAGGCTGTAGAGTGGCATTCTCATGGCTATAGCCATTGAAGATTGAACTATTAATATCCCGCTGTCTAAAGATGAGCATCGAAGTGGCAGGCGAGTCTGGTACGTGATGTGTGAGTGGCTCAATGGAATACACATCGTCTGGGCTGTGGATCTGAGCTATCCACACGTCGTCCGTATGTACAGCATCCACACTGTGCTGTGGGTTGCCGTTAAGATAGCCAGTATAGAATATTTGCTGATCGACGTGGACCGGGGTCATTCTTCCGTCACCGTCCACCATGTGGGCCTGGAAATCTTTCCGTAACACTGGTGACCCGGGCACGAGATGCAGAACAAAATATTTTCTTAGCGCGAAGAAAGACACTATTTTCATATTTAATTGTCCAGAAACGGCATTTCTTTTTACAACCACGGTAAAATTATCTGGTGTCAGCTCGTCGAATTCCTTGAATTTTAAATGCAAGTTACAATCTACCAATGTTAAAACTGACTGGATCCACAGACACGAACAGACCAACCTGGCATACATTCTGGTTAAACTTCTCTAAACTTGTTAATGAGACCTGAAGATAACATGGCCATTTTGTCGCGCAAGATACTGTTGTGATTGTTTCTGTATTATATCTAAATATTACATTAGCCATCTAATCTGCGCTTTCATATATATTAGGGCATCTTACATTTTAATGAGACAACTTCCAAATTAAGAACATGAAAAAAAAAAAAATGTAGGTACTAAAGGTAACAAATAATTTACAGAAGTATTAACACACAAAATGTGAAACGGGATGCTACCAAATTTACACTATTTCGACACATTGTGGAATATTGTAAATGAATCACAGCGCGCACCCGGAAGTTTCTGATGCACACCGCATGATGCGCACGATAGAGGCTTATTTATTGTAAAGATCTTGTCCTTTTTTTTTTTCTCTTCCACCATTGACCTCAGCAAGGTGTTGGCGGGAAATTTAAGGATACTGTGAGCCCTTTTTTCAATGCATTGTACAAAGTGGTGTTCATTTCTGTTAGGGTACTCCTGACGATGTCGCTTCGTGTCATCAAGCAACGGATCACAAACTGTTCCTCTCCACAACGCTTAACGGCAGAAGTAGAAACTGATGATGATGATGATGAGGATGTTGCAATAAAATTAGGTTTGTCCTTCTAGAGACAGAAGCGGACCGTAAACTGCTTCGAAAACTTGGACGTAGAAAGTGTTTTCATGGAAATGGGAGAAGTAATGAAGTCTAAAACTTGGTGACAACGGCCATGATTCAGGTAGCAGTAACGGAATGTGTTGGCTATGTGGATGAGACGAAACAACAACATTGACGTGATCCAAGATTATTCTTCTGTAAGGCATTCGGACATATTGTAAAACACTGTGTTGGGAAACAGATGTTAAAAGACAAGAAAAGATCCTTGTTTGCAAAAACTAATTCAGTTACAATGGATTCAGAAGGTATTCCTACTCTAGATTGTGCACTGTGCTACTGGAGAAAGAATCAAGGAAAAGTTACAGCTCCACATATCATGTTTATAGGAAAAAGCCAGTTGAAATGTCCAGGAACTAAAAAGATTAAGAACGAAATTGTGATTGCAGAGCTAGAATCCAGCAAGAGTAGTAATACAAGCAAGAAAGTTGAAACGAAAAAGACAACAGCCACTGAAACAGAGAAAAAGTCAAACTCAGAAACATGAAATTAATCAAGCAAAGGATATCACTGTTCCAACAATGACATCAGTCGAGACAAAAGCAACTCAGTGTATGAAAAAGACAGATTGTGAAATAATAGATAGGCAAACTGTGGACAAAGAATTTTCATTTCTTAGAGGACAATAAATATATAGATTATGATCAATTCCACAGAGCCACAAGTCAGAAATATTGTGTAAAATCAACTAAATGTTTTGATAAACAAGAAACCAGCACAAATGCATTAAATAGAAAATCAAATATCACTTTGGTACGTGAAAATGTTTTAGAAAAATCAGATTATAGCGGAGAAATGGTTTACTGTATAAACAGAGATTTTTTTTATGCGATTTTGGACAGCTTATATTTATTTGAAGTCGCCCTATATATCAAGACCATTGAAAGTAGTGGTAACGGACAACATCGGAACAGATGTGATTCTGGGATACAAAGACTTCAACATTAGAGACTGTTCTGATGAAGACATACGGGTCTGGGAACAAAGTCATCTCCATCAACAAAAATAACAGCTGATTCAAGGAAAATTACCATCAACTGAAGTATCACTATTTACGAACATGAAACTGTACGGTCCATCATCCTGAACATCAACATCAATCTAACATATCACCACGCATAAAATTCAATATTATTATCAGTCAAGAAGTTACATAGAACCACCGGCAACCATACGACCAAGAGTAAACCTAAACGATCATCAGGAATTGATACTTTATCATTCTTACCTTCAAGATTGTCTTATTTCAACCAAACAATCAAGAGTAAACCTGAACAATCATCAAGAATTGACAGTTTAGCAGTCTTCATCTTCAAGATTATCAAATTTCAATCAAAATCAGAAATCACCAACCAGTACTGTACAGTGAATGAACAGAAACATATCAGCCACCGAATTATTCAAATTCAAAATCACCATCAAGGAACACAAAATTATTTTTCTCCAGACACCTCAAAATCGACCATTGAAACATCTCAAAATCATCAAATATTTAGCGACACTTCAAGACCAGCTATACAAATCGACATCAAGATCATCGAATACCAAACGTATCATAAAATAAAGAATGCGAGAATAATGAAGCATTCCAACTGTTTAAACGCAATCAAGAACAACAAAACGTCAGTATTACATCGTGTTTACACAATTGTGATAGCTACTGTGAAAGTTAGATTATGTTACATACCTAAAGTTTTGTGTAAATAAATATCAAATTAATGATGAAGTATTTTCAAAAAGTGCATAAACACCTGATTTCATTTATAAAAAACAGCCACATACTGTGTGTATTGAACACCTTCCGTTTAATCCCATTACTAATTATTTTAAAGGTGGCATATCAGTGTATGCAGTCACTGAACACTGATAATAGCATTGTGTTAACTCTTAAAATTAAAGTACATTTTTAGTCAGTATATCTCTAAGATTATCAGTTCAAGCCTACTAAGAGAGACCCCAGAGCAGAGCAGACTGTCGAGCAAACCAAGGAATGAGAACCTGAAAGCAAGCGCCAGAGTACAAGCAAGACACACACAGCCTGCAGGGATGGATCAAGATCAAGAATAGTTAATGGAATGAATGGGAATGAAAGAGAATAAAACAGGTATGAATGATGAATGAAAGATTTCTGGGTAGTATTTTAATAGTGTACATGTAGTTTACTTAGGTTAGTACTTCATTAGGATTATTTTAGTATACATGTAATGACAGAATTAGTAGTTCAAAAGTTGAAAAAAAAAAAAAAAAATTCTCTCTCCCCAGGTACAGCACAAAAGAATTAGATCAAGATTTAGCGATAGATCATATAGACATTTTTTTCCACAGAATGGCTTAGATAAATTCAATTTAAAATGTTTTAACATAGGTGTACAGCACAGGGACATGGTAAATTGATCCACGACACCCAAGATTTAAACTGCTAGTGGTTATACTGATGCTGAATAGACATACTGATGGTAAAGAAAGAGTGCACACATCAAAGCACAAGCACAGTAGAGGAGTTGAACTCATCTGTGTCCATCTAAAGGGGGAAAGGTGTCTGAGATTCCTTGGGGTTAATACCCTGTTAAAGGTGGATATAGACTTGGAGGAAACTCTAAGCTCTATGAAAAAATATCTCTCAACTATCATTGTTTTCATGTTGGATTCCTTGGAGTTGGGTAATTACTCTGTGAAAGGTGAGACTTTGGTCTATGAAAAAAATATCTCAACATGCATTTTTTTTTTCTGTGGTAGATTCCTTGGGGTTGGGTAATTACCCTGTAAAAGGTGTTATAGAGGCTTTTGGGAAACCGGAAGCACTATGAAAATATATCTCACCACTGTCATATCGGCTAAGAGTCCTTGGGGATGAATACCCTGTAAAAGGTGATGTAGAAATATTGGTTGAATCCAATTTTCTATGTAGTAAATACCTCAAAGCTGACAATCATCTCACCACTATATCGGCTAAGAGTCCTTGGGGTTTAACACCCTGTGAAAGGTGATATAGAAATATTGGTTAAACCCAATTTTCTATGTGATAAATATCTCAAAGCTGATCATCATCATCACTATCATTTCACTTTGAACCTGATAGAGTAGATATAGTGACTAGACAATTCTACAGATGCAATAGGTGTAGAGATGGTTTAAACTCTTCACCAGCTCAGTAATAGGAAAGCATGCAGTAAATACTGAAAGCAGTTTTAAAGGGTAGTAAGTAAGGATAATCAAGGAACCATAATTCCTAGCAGTAATACATTTAAATTGATTTATTAACATCACCATCATCACAATGATCATTATTTAACTCGAACATCATAGAATAGATATAGTGACGAAGCTATACTACAGATGCAATAGGTGCAGAGATGAGATACCCATCACCAGATCAGTACTTCAAAAAAAGCATACAGTAAAAAATTTGAAAACAAGGGCAGTAATTAAGGGTAATTGAGGTTAGATGTATGTTCCATTGAGTCATCTATTAGTAAAAGGGAAAATGATACTTGATGTTCCATAAAGTATCATTTTGTTAAGAAGGGGGGGAGTATGTGATGAGGTGCTGTGCATGGTCTTCACGATTACATAGTGGCAAGCAGAAAGTCCGTGCAACAAGGGACAGCACGAGATACTTGTGCCTAGTCGAGGAAGCGAGGGAAACCCCGAGCTAGCCTCGTGGTCAGTCGATCGTGAGAAGTTAGAGAAGACGGTTGTAGTATTTGAAGATGTCGTCTTTATGTTGCGCAAATGTTTAATGTTCAAACATGTCGCGAGTGATAGAATTGAGAACAATTGTTTAAGCATGTTGAATACATGGACCAGAATAAACTGATAGTATGTACCAAGATGCTGAGCGGCGTTGTGTTGTCAACCCTAGACGTTAAAGTCGGTGTAAACCAAGGTTCATGTCAAGCCTACGTCAAGGTTCTTTCCAAGTAAACCACGATTCATTCTAAGTTGAATCAGAGTCATTCCAAGTGAAGCATTAATTTATTACAAGTAAGGCTTCGACTTATTACAATTATATTGATCGTATAAGATATACAGTAGAGCCTCGCTTAACGAGCACTTCTCATAACGAGTAATTCGCATAACGAGCAAAACAAATTGTAAAAGAATGACTTGCTTAGCGAGCGACGTTTCGCATAACTAGTGGCGAGGAGAGGGGAAGTCCCGGATTGTGGGCATGTTACATCAGTCTCTGTTTAGCACTCGTTCCAGTAGCATCGTAGTGTTGCTTGTGATCACACATTTTCTCAAACTGTTGTTATATTGTGATAATTGGGCATGAATTCTCCAGGCCTACAAAATGACCTCTCTGAAGAATTTAAGTTCATCAAGATCCAGTTTCTGCCTCCCAACACCACCACTCCGTTACTCCAGCCCATGGACCAGCAAGTTATTTCTAACTTTAAGAAGCTCTACACTAAAGCAATCTTCGAGCAATGTTTTCGGGTGACTGACGGGACCAACCTCACTCTCAAAGAGTTTTGGTTGCCAAGATAACCCTAACTTTTGCTTGGAAGAAGCTTTGGCTGGAGAGCGTTGTCGATTTATGACTTTGAGGGGTTCGAGACAGTACCTCTAAAACCTTTTTTGTGTCTTTGGCCACTACCATGAGATTGTAGATGGATAACAGTGATTTTGAAGAGCTTGTGGAAGAGCATAGCAAGATCTGACCACCAAAGAGCTTTTGGAGTTGCATTGTGTTTCATAGCAAAAAGTTTTAGAGGAAAGTTTGTCAGAGAAGGAGGTAACAGAAAAGCAACAATCTTCTGGCGAAATAAGAGAAATGTTGAAAGCATGGCAAACTGTTGCATCTTACATTAAGAAGCATCACCCTAATAAGGAATTGGCTATGCGCGTTGCAAATTTATTTATTGATAATGCTGTGTCGCTTTTCGCTGAATGTTGAAGCGTCGGCAAAAACAAATGTCTCTGGGCATCTTTCAGGTAAAAAAATAAATTATTAGCTAAGTATCATAATTATTTTGACTTTTTTTTCTGCAAATCGAATTCGCATTCCAAGTGGGTTCGTTCCGCGTTTGAAGAAAAGATGAAGATGATTCACTCTCCTTAACAATGTGTATACAATTTTCTTTTAATAAACTTTATACATAGCATTTTGTGAGTTTCTTTTTCGACATGGAACGCATTATCGTATTTTACATTAGTTTATATGCGAAGAATTGTTTCGCATAACGAGTGTTTCGCTTAACGAGTATGATCCTGGAACGAATTATGCTTGTTAAGCGAGGTTCCACACTATATATATATATATATATATATATATATATATATATATATATATATATATATATATATATATATATATATATATATATATATATATATATATATATATATTCTTAATTTTTTTATTTATATAACACGCTTTGTAATGCCGGGGTGCCGGGTTCGATCCCAGCTGCGGACCTTCTTCCTTGCCTTGGTTTCGACAGTGGTACCGAGAAGCCGGCCGCCCAGAAAGCAATGGCAAACTACTGGACGTCAACTTGTCTAGGAAAACCACAACAGCCTAAAAATGCTAGGGTTGGTTCTGCAACGTCCTGTAAAGGATATGCAAATAACTTTTTTTTTTCATTGGTATGTATTGTCAAGTTTAGCTCCCTTGAAAATTTGTTAGGGAAGGGAACCTGATTAAAAATTTAAATAATAATGTGTTGAATGGCAAATCACACACACACTCACACTCTCTCTCTCTCTCTCTCTCTCTCTCTCTCTCTCTCTCTCTCTCTCTCTCTCTCTCTCTCTCGCTATATATATATATATATATATATATATATATATATATATATATATATATATCTCGTACACATATATACATATTTGAAATAGATTTGTATATAGTAAAGCTTCAAAGGAGAAAATTTAACATGGCTAGGACGATGGCAGCTAAACCTGCGGAAGGGGGGGGGGGGGTGGATCCTGAGCCTTAAGGCTGTTGCTGATGCTGCTACTACTGCTTCTTTTACTTCTTCTTCTTCATCATCTTCTTCTCTTCCATCTTGTACCTCATCGAAGTGTCTGGGGGAGATGAAACATTCCTTGATGAGCTCTGTTAAGAGCACTTTTAGGACCGATGGTCATTTCTGTAAGGCTGTTCTTAATGCCATCACTCAATATTTTCTTAGGTCTTCCACTCGCCCTGTACCCGTTGTAAGGTTTTACTGTGGCTCGCTTTAACAAGTAGTACCAGGTCATTCTTGTTAGGTTCCAAACCACTTCATTTGTTGTTCTTTGATGACCTGTAAGACTGGCTTTATTCCTAGCAGTCGTCTGATTTCGTGATTTCGTATTCTGTCTTTCCTTGAAACTCCTGCAGCTCTTCTAAGGCATTCCATCTCTGTTGTCACAATTTTACATTCATTGGAGGATGTAAGTGTCCTCCACGTTTGGCACTGATAGCATAGTTTTGGCCAAACAGTAGTTCCTATAAGATTCACTTTAGTACTCCGGCGTATTTGCTTGAGTGTTAATAATAGATCATATAAATGTGTTATTTAGTTGTGTTATCCATATTATGACATATTAAAACTGATATAGATTATTATTACTATTTTGCTACAGAGCATATTATTAATAAAATATAATTGTCATTCCTGTGAAACTTTGTTTAACCCGTCTATATTGAAAGGAAGATGTGGAAATGTCCTGGCCACGTTGATGTCAACAAGCAGACGACAGACTTGGCTCCCGACTGTGAAATCTTCGCTTCTTTCATGGACCCGATTTTATCCTCTCTAGTCTGTGAATCACATGTCTCCACACCCATGACTCATTCATATTCCTCTGCCTAACTCGGAAGTTGTACACAAAGTAACTGATCGTCGGCAGGAAAATGAGTGATCACGACGGGGAAACTTCTGCAGGCCAAGGGGGTGGTGCCGCACTTCCTCGTCCCAAAAGACCGACTATTATCAGAGCAGCGGCGAAAGTTGCTCCTGCAGGTTGGTACTTACCGATATTCGCCTCTTTCATTCTTTATTTTATGATTAGTCTGTCTAGCTTCTGTTCTGATATAATATGTATTACTGTATTGCCTGGGAAGTAAAGGTGGCCGGTGTGATAATGACCACAAAATCACCCACCGAGTGCCGCCTACTGATCTGTGAATAGTTGGTAGTGAGTAGACGACGTAGCACAGCGGAGCACTTTGATATAGAAAGGCTGAGAGGTGCTAACTACAGCAAGGGAAGCATGGAAAATAACACTATCATATGCCATATGTGTCATAAGAGACTAAAAAGGTTGGTGAAAGACTGGCTGGTGTATTGGACAGACAACTTACCTACACAGTCAAACAGTTCCTGAATCAGTTTATTAAGGTTTGCCAGAGGGATTGAGAGCTTATACTCTGTTGAAAGATACAAGACATAAGTAGTAGTTGTAATTTTCACAAAAATAGCCCGTTGAACACTCAGGGTTATTATTGGGATAAAAAGTGCTCATCAGATTCTCAGGGTATATATATTTGTTATTTTATATATCATGTCATTATTTATTTAAGACAGTTATATAATTTGTATTATTATTTCAAATATTGCTTTGCTAACACCTTGTGGGTTGTGATTAAGATAGAAATGTACTGTGAAAATTTAATCTTATCAACATTGTGTCATTAAAATAGTGAATTTATTATGCCATTAGTTTCATCGTTGATTATCTTTGTCGATTTTATCTTTATAAGTATATATCTTCAGAGGTGGCATGGCATTCCTTAAAAGACAGAAGAAAAAGGAGACTTTTTGGCTCTCCTTTAAATAACGGTCGCTAGCTGGAAGGCGACGGCCACTTAGTCGGAGTTCACTCCTTTGGCTGCAGTGCAAATATGGAGCGGACAAGTCACGAACAAACAACAAAGTGAGGTCGACATGCCTGCTAGAGCTAGACCACGCGCTGCGACTGACAGTAGCGACCGCGGTCTTGCGACGCATGAATCTCGTAGAGCACGCGCTGCGACTCACATTAGCGACCTTGTTTTTCCGACGCAAGACTTAGTGACCATAGATGTGAGACCTGCGGATCTGTATGTTGTAATGAGCGATAAGCTTCCGTTGTTTCCGTGATGTGTCACCCTAACCTAAACCCTAACCCTACCCCTAACCCTACCCCAAACCCTAACCCTAACCCTACCCCAAATCATAACCCAAATCCTAAGCCTAACCCTAGGATGACAGGTAACTATATCATTTGTTTCGTTATCTCTTTGCCACTCCGTATTTGCACTGCAGCCAAAGGAGTGAACTCCGACTAAGCGACCGTCGCCTTCAAGCTAGCAACCGTTATTTAAAGGAGAGCCGACTTTTTAAATGAGTAAATTTAATTGTTTATAACCTTGTTTCTTGTTTAGAATATTAGTGTTCTCTGTTTGTTACATATCCTCATATAATTTTTAACTTCCAGTTGTTTTTATTTTTGTTCATGATTATCCTTGCCAGAGCCTCCTCCAAGACCAGCGAGCAGACCAAACAATGTAATCAGCCCTAACAGCTCACAGAAAGGAGACTTACCTGGCAACAAGTATGTTCAATCTAAAGAATGGCAAGTTGTGGGTAGAATATAAAATGTGTAGGTACTATATCATAAAGAATGTATTGACCCCATGTGCTTTTGGGGCCTGTTTTGGGAGAGAGAAAAAGGATAGATCCCCAGCCCCAAAACTGGATAGATCCACTGTCCCAAAACTTCTGTGTCATGAAAAGCGACTCATGAAATTTTGCGAAACTTTGATATGTTGGCCTGAAAGGTGCAGATGTGACAGTCTAGCTGTAAGCCATAACAGAATGTGCCAACCACCTTTTCAACGGGAAACCCAGAATAAATATAAATGTAAATTATGATTAGAATAGTTTACGTAAAGTGGGTTTAAAACTATTAAATATTATTTTTTCTTCTGCATTCGTCCAAAGATGTAATTGCATTGTGTCCACCTTCTACACGGCTGCGAAATATGTGCCTTTTGGTTTACACATCCTACTTCTGCAGGCATTTGTTGCCTGTGTTAGCCTTGTGTTGCATGGGTTAGCCTTGTGTTGCTTGGGTTAGCCTTGTGTTGTTTGGGTTAGCTTTGTGTTGCTTGGGTTAGCCTTGTGTTGCTTGGCTATAGCCTTTCCAGAAGAACTCGTGTATGAGAGGTGCAGAATAGACAGTATTGTGTGTTGTTCAGAATACATGTGATGTATCATAACAAGTGTCACAGAAAATACGTAAATGGTGTAGTTAAAAAGTGCAGTACAGTATTTCTACATGAGGTTTATCAGAACACTATGTTGTGTAGTGTGAAAAATTGTTTATTGATTTGTGGTGTAAAATATAATATAAAAGTGTATAAAATAAAAATGTGTATATGCAATGTGCACTTATTTTTTCTTCACTTTTTTTTTCCACTTTGGGTGTTAAGGGAGAAACGAGATTCTGTTTTTGCTTTTTGGTCACCTCAACAATAGTTACTGCTACCACTCTACAGAAATGTACATTGTTCAAATGAAACGTACATAACAGTTGGCACGTACTTTTTGAAAGTACTAGAAAATCGTGCCTGTTATTTATATTCAGAATTAAAATAATTGTTTTAGACGTGTGAGAAAATATTATTGGAAGTTATGGTTGTTTTTCAGGAAAACATAATAGACGGGCTCTGAACAGACTGGGAATTAAAAGAGAGTTGCTGACAAAAAATAAATAAAAGACAAAGCCACTAAACACGTCCCGTTTGTGTAATGCCACCATAAATGTTGCATTGCTGACTTGCTAGAGTGGCTTTTTTACGAGAAGCATAGCACGGCTAATGTTTGCACCTGTGCAGACAATTAGGAGTATTGGAATTAATTATATTAACCAAAAATTTGCATACAAAGAGACGGCTGTGGGTTCCTGTGAACAATTTTTGTCTTCTAAAAAATAGGTGATGGAACTAACTAACCACAAAGTATGTTTAAAAAAATGGTGCTGGTAGTTACCACACACTGCCAAATACAGCAGAATTTAAAAAAAAAAAAAACCTCAAAATAAGGTGGATGCAGGCACTGCATACTGCCATAAAACAAAACCATTATTTGAAAAAAATATATAATGATGACATTTTGATTTTTTTAAAGGACATGTTATTCAGAAAGCTCCTCAATAATTCAATATGTAGACAAAAAAAACAGTATTAATTTCCTTACAAATTAAGAGTAGTAGTCAGTAAACAGCACTTTACAGGGCATTGCAGAACCAACCTCATCAGCCACTGGCTATTGTGTGGTTTCACTAGGCAAATTACGTCCAGTAGTTTGCCATTGCTTTCTGGACGGTCGGCTCCCTGATACCACTGTTGAAACCAACGCAAGGCGTATGGCCCGCAGCTGGAATTGAACCCGGTACCCTGGCATTACGAAGCGTTCGCATCGACTTAGACACAGAGCCGACGTAAACAGCACTAAAAAAAACTGACTTTAGCTATCTCTCTCTGATAATTACAAACAAAATGAATATAGGTGGCCCATACTTCACTCCCTAACCTGGTGATCAGGTAAGCACATATTTTTTTTTATGGATTTGTTTACCAACAATTCCAGAGATGCTGTTCATTGTCTTCCATTGAGGATCAGTCATAGACATTTTGTTTCTGTTGTTTCAATTGTTTCCATTTTTGTTTGGTAATGTCCACATTTGCCACAAGTAACACAATGTTGGTGAATTTACTGTTTTGAATAGTGCTGTTTGAGGAAATCTGAAAGTGATTGTGCTCTTTTTGGTAATCTGAAGCTAATAATCTGACTCTGTTTTCAGAAAACTGGAGATCACTGTCATCGATGCCAAGCCAATCAGTGAACTGGGATTCCGAGACTTGAAAGGTTCAGCTGCTTATGTACCTGCCTCATTGCCAGTTTGTAACACTGAATCTACAGGTGGGACACCAGCTCAGCATACGCAGCTCAGAAGTCACCCTGAAGAAGACCAAGTTTTATCTCAAGGTCAGTTATCCCAACAAATAAACACAAAAATTTTCATCCCTATAGAGAGACCGCCAGTATAACCTAACAATGATTGCTTAAAAATGGCTGATTAAAGTAGAACATTATTTACAACAATGGGAAGGAGACAAACACAGTTCTTTGGTTATGAGATGAGGGAAGCACAGGAAAATATTGTGACAACTGGAGAGATCACTGGCAGATGAGCCAGAGGCAGACCAAGAGAAATGATGGTGGGTGGCTATAAGATAGTGGTGTGGAGGAATATCATCAGTGGAATTGATCCAGAGTACCAAATACCAAAATCTGTGGAGATCCATGAATGCCTACGCCAGCTGGCAAGGCACTTGATGATGATGATGATAATGAAAAGACTAGACAAAAAATTGCAGTGACATATTTTTTTCTGACCTCATTCATACTAATTATGGGTGTTTCCTACAAAATCATGAGTGTATCTGCCTGAGAGGTGAGAAACCAACTGTCTGAACAATTAAACCAGAAATGTAAAACAGATGTGCACCAAAACTCAAGTTTTGGAATAGGACTAGAGTTCAGAAGTAGACACACAACCAGAACTTTCTGTTTACAACCGTTGAACTTGAAGAAAAAGAAGAATGTTGCCTGGCATATTTTGCCAGTATCTCATAAGGTGCCTAATACAGTAATAATGGAGTAAAATTCAGCAAATAAATGAATCTTTTCAGTTTAAATCCAAAATGCTGGCATGTACATATATTTGTGCTTATTGTTTCACCACAGAATCTAATCAAACCTTTTTGTTTTATTGTATGTTGTCATATCCTGCAGCATTCAGTATTTCTCTGATAATAATAATGCATATCTGTATGTCCACCACAGGAGGCGACAGGGTGCAGGATCTTGAACAAGGTGGCAGTATATCACAGAAGCCTTCAGCTCCACCAAAATCAATGAAACCAACCATAATACGACCAAGTTCCAGAGTGCAACCAGCTACAGGTAGGAAACACCACATAGTATTGTTTGTAGAGGGTGCAGCCAGTGATAGGTGGGAATCTCAACTACTGATGTGAGGTTCATAGTCATGTGCAGGATGTAATGCTTCCTTGGGTGAGCCCAGGACCAGAGCATCTCTCATGGAAGTCACCATGGGTGGGTATGGAATGTCTACACACAGTGACTCAAAAGGATTCTCCAAGGGCAACACCTGTAGAAAAAAGGACAAAGAGGGCAACACTGAAATGAGGCCATGTCATACCCCATGAAACCAACCAGAAAGGCTAGGCCGGTGAACAGATAGATGTCATATGTGTTGAGCGAAAGGTAAGAATATCACATCTGTGTTGTAAACAGGCACAACATAGTTACATCACTTAGACGAACAATGAAGAAGAAGCATTGTTTTTAATGAGGCTGACCCTAGTAAACAATAATCTAGTCTGTCTTGGTAAAATCCCACCCCAAGATGTGGAGTAATTCACCTATTCAGGCATTAATGTAGATAAAGATAACACTGGACACAACTAAATCTAACAAAATGCAGAAAACTGAAAGCTTGTTTTTACTCTTTAAATACCAAACAGCACACTGTTAGTGACTGGATATTACTGTTGTGCACCAGTCAAATTGTTATTGGTGTGTGTACGTCATATAGTACTCCACTATGCAGATGACAAAGTCCTCCTTTCGAAAAGTAAAGGGAATAGAAAATTTAATTATGTCCGTCCAAAAGCACAGTGAAGATCAAAATCTGTTCTTGAATTTAAAGAAAACGAAAATTATGTCCACAGATAAAACTGGCTGTCACCCAAAAATAACAATAAATGATGAACAAATTGAAAATGTCACTAACTTTGAATATCTAGGCTCTATAACAAACAACAATGGAGACTGTTCGACAGAAATTAAAAGAAGGATGGCCATAGCAATGGAAAGATTGAACAGCCTTAAAAGTCTTAGAATTTTGAGAGCATGCATCTTCCCTGTGGCTACATACGGATGTGAGTCGTGGACTATCTCTCAGTCCTTAAGAAAGAGAATAGGGGCTTTTGAGCTGAAATGCTATAGAAAGATTCTCAGAATATCTTGGACAAAGAAGATGAGAAATATTGACATCTTAAAAGATCTGAACATCAAGGAAGATTGGCTAATAAACAGCATCCTTTCTCGGAAGCTGAAATATTTTGGTCATATCAAGCGCCATGATGGATTAGACAAAATTATAGCAGAAGGCATGGTACCAGGAAGGAGGGGCAGGGGCCGACTGACACGAAGATGGGCAAAGGATATAAGTGACTCCTTGAGTGTGGAAGTTCATGAGGCGGGAGAACTGGCAAGAGACCGAGTTTCTTTCAGGCAGACTGTGATGAGAGCGACGTTCTGCAAAGGACCTGCTACATGATGATGATGATGACATCATATAGTTAGTCAAGACATACTCAAGCACTTGAACAACACATCTGTCTCCTACAAGGATTGTGTATTTAGGCCCTGTAGATGTAGCAGACCTATGATTTTGCTGCTTTCCTTATTGCCTCAATCAGACATTAGCTACAACTTCTGGGACTTTAAGAGTTAATTATTTATAATTCTGTTATTTATAGTTGCTGCTTTATATAATTATTATTTATGTTTATAATCTTTTGATTCCACAGGTGAGGACAAACTGTTACCTGCACCGCCGCCTAGACCAGCATCCTCTCCAAAAACAGATCCTTCATTGCAAAAGTCAACGTCTAAGCAAGGAAATCCAAATTTACAGCAACCACTCCAAGCCCAAGTTTCCTTGCTGGAATCGTCTGAAACACCATCCTCACAAAACCATCCACCGGCACAAGCTCCAGTTTCCCATCAGGCCCCTAAGAGGCCGCCACGTTTGCCATCTTCCGGTTTGCCCAAACAGAAATCCACAGCCAGTATTCAAGATACAAAGCTGGAAGCCAGCACTGAAATGCAATCACAGGAGACCCTAATACAAAATACAGTTCATGACATAGAGAGTCCAAAACCTGAACCAGCATTAAGGAAGCCAAAACCAGTGCCCAAACCAAGGCCGGTATCTGTGAAATCCTCAGGATTCACAGATCATGTTACCTCTGAAAACAGTGTAAATAAGGATACAAATTCAAAAACTCTTTCTCCAGAGATGTTCATTCGGTCACCTGAGACACAAGAAGAAATCTCTAGCCAAAACTCTAAATGGTCATCAGTTACAATTGATGAGAAAACAGCTAAAGATGAACGGCTGTCAGTAGCACCTGTCCCACTAAAGAAACCACCACGATTGATAGAAAGTATACCTGAGACAGTTTCTACAGCAGATGTCCCGGAGAAGACAGTCAGACCAGACAGTATTGTTTTTGGCCAGAAAAACACTTCTCGAGAACAGCTGTAAGTGAATGTTCAATAGTCTCTTGGTTTTTTATTTTTGATTGGTGTTGTCGGCATTGAAGGAGCTGATAGATTGGCTGGCTCCGCCGTAGTTAAAGAACGCTGGCCTTTGGAGCACACCGACAATGTTAATACATTTAGGCAGGCTGCCCTTCTTCTTCTTCTTCTTTCGTTCGCCTGAAATATGTGGTCTTTATCAGCAATTTTGTCTCTCGTATAAATTTCACTGTCGTTGTTAGTTCATTCATTGATCCATAGATTTTACCTTCCACTGTTGTTCTGTCTGGCCAAAAGGTTTGCCTTAATGTGTCAAATTTGGTGCAGTCCTGGAGTACATGCTCTGCTGTCTGGGGCACCTTTCTACAGGTGCACATGGCTGATACACCTATCTTGAATTTTGTGTACATGTGGTTACGTAAGCAGTTGTGCCCTGTTCTGAGGCGGAGGAAAATGACTTGTTCTGATCTGTTCATAATACAATAGTAATTTTGTGCTGGGGCTGGTGGTTTCCTTCCCCTGGCAGTTATCAGCTTTCTCATTTCTAGGCACTCCACAATGGGACAGTATCCCTTGCATTATGACTCTTCGCTGATGGCTGAGTTGTGTCACAGTGTTGGAGTTCTTCAAGTACGGATTTTGCATCTGTCAGCATTACCACAGTCTGTTAGCCAGGATTGGTATTTAGCAGTTTCTCTGTTGCTATCTTGATAGCCTGGGTTTCTGCATCACAGTTATGGCAGTACTTCCTGGTTGGTACACTGGACTTATCCCTAGTACCATCTGGGAATTCTGTGTTAACTCCTACACGTACCATCGGAGAATTCTGTGTAAACTCCTACACCACCATTTCTAACTGCACTTTGTGCAGACCCATGTGTATAGACTCGGACCCATTGTTCTTGTGGGTATTCTTCTTCACTCTAACTGAGGGTGGCCATTCTGCATTGGATACTACTATCTTGCTCTTTCATGTCTAAAATTCCCTTCATATTTGTCTAGATTTGTACTGTTAGTTTCTTTTTCTCTCTACATGGAGTTTGTTCTGGAATACTTTTAAGTGGACAACCAATTTCTGGAAGGTAAGTAGTTTGTCTACATATTCCTTTTTGCAAGGTGTATAAAGCTGCTTCTGTTTAATCGTCCCAAGGCTAGGTTCCTAAATCTATTTCCCATCGGGTGATCTGGCATACTGCGGAACTTTTCAGCTTGTATTTGCAACTTTGTATCTCTGCGTTCTCTCAGTGCCTGTTTTCCCAGCCAAGCTTTCTCCTTTTCTATAGGAGTTGATTTCATCTCTCCTCTGAGCGCTTGATTTTGCACTTTGTCCAACTTTAATGTGGTACTGGATGCTGAACACCATGCAGTTGACTCATATTCCAAGTGCGATTATATGCTCTGTTTGTATACTTTATTTAGTATTTTCCCACTGGCTCCCCATGTGGTTCCACTCAGTTTTCATAGTATGGCTGTCTTCCTTCTGGCTTTGGTTGCTGCCTTGTTGATATGTTTTCTCCAGGTCAACCTGTCATCAAATGTGACTCCAAGGTACATGGGCTCTTTATCATCTCTTAGGTGTATTCCGTTTATTTTGATGATGCCCGCTTTTTTGCTGTGGGGAGAGAGTGAAGAGTGTAGTGCTACATTTGTCTGTGTTGTTGCTGACACACCATCTTTTCGCCCATGCCGCAAGTGCATCTGTAGCCCGCTGGAGTGTTCTTGTGGCTATTGTTGCATGTTCATTGCTGCACCACAGTACCAGCTCATCGGCATACACATCCATTTTGATTCCTTTGGTATCTCAGCAACAAGGTTGTTGATGCATAAGAGAAAAAGTGTGGGGGACACTTTACTTTTAAAACCATCTACCTGTACCCAGGCTTTTCTGTTATGTAAGATATGCTTTAATCATATTGAACTTTCTTCCATTCACTTTATCCATGTCGCAAGTACCAGTTTCTTATCTTGAAAAGCATCCTCTATTTCTTGGGAGAGGTATGTTGTATGGTCTTCCATAGAGTAAAATTTTCTAAAGCTCGCCTGATGTGGTGTAATGATGTTTTCACTTTCAATGTACCACTGTAATCTGAGGTTGGTGATGCGCTCCATTGTTTAGCAGAGGCAGCTGGTGAGGCTGATCGGTCTGTAGTTGGAGGCTTTGGAACTGTCTGTCCAGGCTTTTTGAGGGGTATCATAATTACCTCTCTCCAGATCTATTAAACATTTCCTGTTGCCCAGCTAGCAATAAATTTCAGTAAAAGCTTTGTTTAGGCTATTGTTCATAGGTTTTTTATCATTTCATTAGATATACCATCTGCTCCTGGTGACTTCCGCGATGAGAGGGTTTTGGGGGTAATGCTGCTAAGAATGCAAGAAATGAAAGTCAGATCTGCATGAGAGGCTACCAAATATGCGAGAGCTCTTATCAACCAGTGTAGGTCTGGCACTGATAGTGTGGGATGCTGATGTGTACGTTGGGAAGGTAAACTTCAAGTTCAGATTGTCGTGAAATAGCCCGACTCAACAGGGTTCAGTTATAGTGGTGTCAGTTGCCTAGTGGACATTCTTTATAAAAAATTTCTTTAGCACATCTTGTTTGTTGTGAGCCCTCTGTAAGTCTAAGATGTAACTTTTGTTTTGTCATTAGATTATCTATGCATCCCTTTTTTGTTGTTACTATGAAAACAGCTTTTGGTTGCACCACAAAAAGAAACATCAGGTTGCATTTATTTCTTTTCTAGGCCACCTGTACATAAATTGCCACCTGTAGTGTTCCCAGTGCCTCAGCCATCTGGCTCCAAACCATCCCCGGTAACCGCAAGAAGACCAGAAACATCATCAGACCCAAATTCTCATACTGAACACAAACCGGGTATCAGCCGTAACATATTTCTTTGGGTCTTCTTTTTATTATTGCATCTGTCACACTTTTCTGTGTTGATATCCATCACTGATCTCATGAACTTGTATCTTTAACTGTGTTTTGTAATTTCAACTTTTACACTTGATGATCTTTCTCTTTCCAATGTCTCTTTTATATTTGTTATTGGCACTTTTCAGTCTTTCCAGGCGACAGTGTTCTTTGTACAATGTGGAGGCATGTGAACCACAGCCCACGGCCATGGCTTAGTTCTTTATCTCCACAGCAGAGTCTTGACAGTATTATAGACACTATATGTTGCCCATGCATCGTGATCCCTCCCATGGTCTGCCTTGTTTACTTCAAAGGAAAGCTAACACCAGTACTTTTGGCAGACAGCAGGCTGCAGAAACTGCTGGTTCAGAAAAGCAGTACTCTGTAACAAGTATGTCTTACTCTATCTTTAAATCATACTCTAACTGCATCTTTCATTGATCATTATAGTTGTACATGTTTTTCATACTTTCGACCGTTTCCTTCATTCACAAGTCTTGTGTTGTGTTTTTCTTAAATCTTCTTCACTTTCTCTTATGCCAATTTTAATGTTGAAGAAATCTTTTATTCATTTACCACTGTGTCTTTTGTTCATTACATTGACCATGACTTAAATATTTTCATTTTCTCATCTCTGATCAACCCACATATAGCACTGTATTTTTCTTGCTCCTCTGTGATAAACCCTGCTTATTGTGAGAAGTAAAATCCTTTTGAACATTCAGTAAAGAAGTAAGAACAAAGCATATCTCGCATATCAAATGCTTTATGTAAATGTTCTTACATTTGTTTGTGTAAACTGTTTTTCATCCTTGCTTACATTTCTAATGAAGCATCGCCGACCCCATCAAAAGTGCCACCAGCGCGGCCAACCACGTCTGCTCCAGCTAGAGGGAAGTCCCTGGCTATTGCTGAAAAGATTCCGCCTGTTTCAGAGAGCAGTTCAAGGTAAGATAGAAATCTGCTTCCATTGAGGAGAAGATTCTATGTTTACTTGAAAGTCGATCATACAGGTTTATTTAGAAAGATGGATACACTTTCATTCAAACATATTTCCTTAAATAAACATATTAAAAAAGTTATTTGCATATCCTTTACTAGACGTTGCAGATCCAACCCCAGCATTTTTTGGCTGTTCTGGTTTTTCTAGGCAAATTTTATGTTCAGTAGTTTGCCATTGCTTTCTGAATGATCAGCTGTGGGTACCACTGTCGAAATCAAAGAAAGATCAATTCGTCCGCAGCTGGATTGAACCCGGCACCCCCATTATGAAGTGCTTTTGCAACACCTAAGATAAAGATGCCGACAGTGTTATGTATGCATACCGTAAGAATAGTTAATATACAATAGAGAGAGAGGAAGGTCTGAAGTTTCAAAAACTACCACAAGAGCGCAGGTGCATGACCAAGCATTCCAGTGCACATGCACATGCCACTCGGTTCACACAAGAGATGCTTCTTCACATGTGGACTGAGTTTAACTACCGTACAGATGTTTGCCAAGCAACAGATGGCGACCATATTAAACATCTGTAACCTCTATTGTGAGTTTGTAAACTTTAGATCTTCCTCTCTCCTCTGTGTGTGTTTTATTAGTATGTAATGCATATTCAATGAAACAAACATTATAAAAGTATATCCATAATTTTGAATGACCCTGGTTTACGAACTAATGTAGAAACACATCCAATTTCAACAAATCCTTAATTAGTTACTTTTTACAGCCTGCTTGTTAACGTGTAGAGGGGTCTGTTCCTCCACCACTTCCCATCAGATGGGACCCGGGAACCCAGACAGAGACCCAGGAGATTTCATTCTCATGTTGACTGAGTGAACTCAAGAGTGTTGAGTATATTGTCATGTTGAGCAGCTGTTGACTGAGTGAACTCCAGTGTGTTGTGTATATTGTCATGTTGACCAGCTATTGACTGCGTGAACTCAAGAGTGTTGATTATATTGTCATGTTGAGCAGCTGTTGACTGAGTGAACTCCAGAGTGTTGTGTATATTGTCATGTTCAGCA